CGTTTTGTGTATTTTATTGACGTTATCAAAAGTTGCTCATAAATTTTATATTATCGAATAACGCTATCCCGCTTGCTTACTTTTAGCAAGTAGATGTTCGCATAATGCAATACAGAGGAGCAAATAGTCATAGTTAAATCGTTGTTTTATAATATATAACCTAACCCCTGTGACAGGAATGGATTAATAACGAAAAAATAACTAAACCTAACACACTGATTTGGGAAAGAAAAAATACTTAGAAAGATAGTAAAACCGTTAGTTTTGGTGAATTTAGGTTACTTTGGCGCTACTGTGATTACGATTATTGAATAGAGTATGAAATACATTTTTTTCACAGAATTAGTTTCAATAATAATTTAATCGTCCTGTTTTCTACCGCGGCGGGAGGAAAAGAAAAATAATGCCGTCGCTTAGCTTTACAATTTTTGTTTCAATAAACAATTTTATTCGGTGTGAATGTGAAGTTAATAGTTAGTACACAAATGTATTTTATTATATTAACATACAATTTTAATTTCATCAGGAATATTATATTCAATGCGTTCAAATAAACATATTAAAAAAGTAATTCGCATCCATTAAGCTATTGTTTGAAATAGTATATTGAAATTAAATTATCGGTATGCATACAGTTGGAAACAACTTTGCCGCTCTCTGATTGCTGTGATTAAGAGTCTATACCAAGCAGTGAAGTTTCAGCTTGAAGCTCGCCACGTTGCCGGTGAAAATGATGATATGCAAGGACTCTAATTTGCAATTTTGATGAGCACACACTTTCAGTCATCCCATAGTTTTGTCAATTTGTGGGCGTGTGTGTGTGTTTATAAAATTGTTTATAAAATTCTTCGATAAATAATGACTTTGCCAGCTAGGTATATGGTTTGATCCTGTATTCTACCGGGTGACACAAAATGTAGGTACCACCTAATTTTTCTTCAGCTTTAAACATATTAATTTCATATGATATACCTGTATATAAAATTGTATTCTTTGAATATTTCGATTGTCGAAACAGCTTCCGGTTTAATCAGTACTAAATATTTGTTATTGACTAGTAGGCTAAATAGTAATAATAATATTCTTATAATGTAGACAACGACAAATTTAAATTAAAAATAATACATCCCGTTTTATATATCCACAAAATAAACAAATGAAAATTCTCCCTATAACCCTTAAGTGGCTCGGGATCACATGTCATTAAGATGACGTTAATAAATGTTTAAAGGAATCGCTACATAATTTATATAAAATACAAGGTCTAACCTACATAATACAAAAATTTTACTTTAAATTTGATATTGAAAACAAGCAAATCTTACATTACTTACATTCTTAGTTTTTTATTTTATTTGTTAACACGGCCATCCTGCTCTGAAAGCGTCCTCGCGCTATTTATAAAATTTTACAAACCAACAACAGAATTTTTGTAAATGCTACTATTTAAAGTTTAACTCGTTACAAACAGACAACGAGGTTGCTATTGTAACATGAATTAAATCTTTTTTTATTCAATTATGGGATTGCCATTATCTCTGTTTTACACTTTTTTTTAAATAATGGGATTGCCATTATTAACCTCACTTTTTTTTTTCAATAATGGGATTGCCATTCTTCTTCTACTTAATAATTACATTGTTCTTTATAGTATAATTGAAATCACTATCGGGGTTTTCAAATATTGAGCAGCAAAATGGATCATTGTTTTGGAATTCCTTTAAAGTTTTAATATTCGATATTTTGTTAATGTTCATCGTTTTCAAAGCACACACTTTAAGAGCACTTTCATTTTCTGGAGGATTGCAGCTTAAATAGTCCACGTGAGCCATTTTCTTTCCGGGTCTATATTCAATTTTATAATCATAATCTCGCAATTTGACCCACCAACGCGCAACACGGGGATAGCTAAGGTCTCTAAGTCATACGAGTGATACCGTGTTTCGTAATCATTTTAACGGCGACTGAAGTAAGCAACGGGACGAACTGCAACATTTTCATTTTGCAACAGAGCAGCTCCTTGTCCAATCGAACTAGCATCCTTAGGCAGCTCACAAGGTAGATCCGGATTGTAAATTCGTAACACCGGTGAATCGGTTAGTTTATTTAATATTAACTGCCTTGCTTTTTCACACTCAGGAGACCAGTGAAATTCAAAATCCTTTTGTAACAAAGCCGTTATTGGCGCGGCTAACACTGAGAGTCGTTTAATACATCGGAGGAAATAGCTTGCAAGTACCATAAACTGCCTAACACTTTTGACGTTTGTCGGAACAGGCGCTTGAGTTAAGGCATTTATTTTACGCTGGCTGGGTCGCACTGATCCGGCACTTAAAATAACTGGCATTTTCCATAGTTCAAAGCAAACTCATTGGTAGATATTGCATTAAGTACATCTTCCAGGTTCTGCAGTCCCTCTTCAATACTTTTTGAAGGCACTAGTACATCATCAAGGTAAACGAAGGGTTTTGTTCCCTTTAAATTACTCAATGAAAATCACGACTTCACATGGTGGCAGCTTTAAATGCTCGAGCCCCGGGTGTTTCTTTATCACGAAATGCAGTGATGAAATAAGCACAAAAATTTTCCCAAGTTCGGCGGATCTGCCGCCATTCGCAACAGTATCGATAGCCTCGATTTTTCAAAGCCTCGCGTGCCCTAGCGGTCATTAAATTATCGCTGACGTTTAATTCATCTTTTAATATCGTAGCGTCTTCTAACCACTCACGGATTGCGTAAGCGCTGTTGCCCGGATCATAGCTGGTTAATTTGAATTTCGATGTTGACGCTTGCGTACTTGGTCGAACTGCTACGGGAAGGTTGGGCGTTGGCATTTCCTGTGAATATGACGATCGCCATCTTTGTTTGTTTCGCCAACTCAGCAATTTGTTGTTGTTGGGCAGCGATTAAATTAATTAAAGTTTCTTGCCAATGCACTGTCCTTTTAGACAACATCGTCTTTGTTTCAGCACCAACACCAGATAGGCCTTAAAACTGATTTCGTTACTTGCAAACAAATAGCTAATATTTCTGATTTTAGGACCAGGATTATACGAGAGCCATCATCTGCAGGATTCCAGTCCGAGTTCAATAAACGCACGGATGATATCCCAGAATATATACCCTTTTTCTTTAACCACATATATTTAATGAGTTGTTTATGGCTTCGACTCTTACTGAATAAATTTTTTGAGATGTTTTTTAAAAGCACTTAATGATGTTAAAATTATGAATCTCTGCCTTAAATCCTCATCTAGGAATTTTTGTTTTTTTTTGTTTTGTTTTTTACACTTATTTGTTATCACATTTTTCTTTTCTCTATTTCTTGTATTGTAAGATTCAGTTATATTCTGTAGTTTGGTTTCATTTTTGGAAATATTTAAAACCGCTGATTTTAAAAATAACTGCTTTACCGTGAAACCTTTCGACCCCTAAACAGTTCTACAGAAGAATAATTTTTTTCTAACTATTTTTAGGAAATATTTTTGCATAATTTCCAATTTTTTATGAGTACTCCTCCCCTCCCCAAATTTTGATTGTAAAATATTTGAATTTGTTAATCAGTAACCTTAGATTGTTTACTACTCTTTGTAAAGGTTTTTTCCATTTTAATTGTTATTCCTCAGTAGTTTATTTTTTCTGTCGACTTTAAACTCCGTTTATTGCACGAAAATGGCATAACAACTGTTTTTCTTTATTCACCGTAAGTGACATCTGTTTAAACCAACTCAAGTGTTTACTGCAGTCATTTTCCACTTTGGTTTTAAGATCATTCCAAGAATCATCTTCGTATAGGAAAACTTTGTTGTTCGCAAAAGCAAGAATGGTCCTTGACCTGTTAAACACAGAAAAACACATTTTTGACGACAATTTTGATATATTACACACAGCCACAAAAAGTAGAAAATTAAATTTATTGGAAGCCATGGAGATTAACAAATTGAGACATTCAAATGTATTGCTTAACGATCAATTAGATTTAAATACCTCTCCTTTATGGAACTTAAATTCTCGCAACAACATTAATTAAGGTTTTATGGTCATTTTTCGGTATATATAGTAGCAGGTAGTTTCTAAATATTACATTTGATAAAGGCGCGGTGCTGTCGAAACAATTGTCATGTCATAATATACAATTTCGTGAAAATCTGAACTTTTAGTTCTTATTTATTTTTATAAATAGCACCTACAGCTTTAAATAATGCTATAGAGACAACTTTAAAAGGATCAGTGTCCTATTCAAGATAGGAATTTAATAAGTTTAATAAATATATAAACATGCATATTACCTTTTATAAATAAATTTCAAAAATATTATCTACACCTCAGTATTTTACATTTTTATTGAGAATTAAAACTTTTTGATGATGATGATGATGATGATGATAGCAAGTCACTGTGTTTCTGAACCAAAAATTAGGAATATTTGAAGCACTTGAAATTTACTCGAAATTGTAGTAATAACTAAACCTTCAAGTTCAAATAACTAAATCTTCAAAGTTCCTTCAAAATTGCTAAAAAGGTCTTAAAAGTATGGATAAAAAAAATATTTAAAATTTTAAACCTTGGAACTTCAAAACCAAACAATTTGGGACAAATATTTGTATATAATCATAGTCATATGATGTGTTAAAGAATCGAATAAATACGTTATTTCGTGTTCAAATTTATATGTAAACCATAAAAAACGTGTTAGGTGTGTGGAAACTGCTGTTTAGAAAGAAATTGTCTAAAATGCAAATTAGTGGGTGAAATATAGAGGCATGCGCGGAAAATTCCACTAAAATTTAGAGACACAATCGCGATTGAATTGAAATTCTAATTTTTATTTCCCAACTGAAACTGTAGTACAATGGATTAAAAGATTGATAAAATTATATATATTAAACTATAATACAAAAGAAAGGAATTCGTAGCGGCCCCAAAGTTAAAAAACACGACAGACCATTTAAGGGTGTGGGTGGATACACAAAGTAAAAACCGGTATTTTCTTTTTGCAGGTCCCGCCTTCTGGGGTCTAATAAATCCGGAGTGGTCACTATGCAACAAGGGTCGGAGACAGTCACCCGTTAATCTGGAACCCAGTAAGCTGCTCTTCGACCCCAACCTCAGGCCTTTGCACATCGATAAACACCGAGTAAGAGGCTTAATACTAACACTTCCCGGTTTAACATGTGCTCTGTGACGTACAAAACGCGTACTACGGGGCAGAGATTAGCGCTGTCACTTGCGAATTACGCTTTATCGACATCGTCCGTCCCTGCTGTATATACCCTTAAAATCGATTGATCGTGTATTTGCAATACGTCGCATCCACGTTGACTGTATTTCAATTCGAATTGTTGAATGACATCTTTAGATCTGGTTTACACGCCTCAATAACTAAAACACAAAACATTTATCCCGCAAATACTTAAAAAATATTTGGACAGGGATTCCGATGGCTGGCTACAAGGTGGCGCCGAGAAAGCACATGTTTTGCACATAAATAAAATCTTTTTTTTTATTTTCTAAATAGTTTTGTTTTAATTAATTTTAAATATTGTAATTAGTAAGTTCTTCATGTCTTATGTTACTCATTGTGAGACAATGTAGACAAAAACAAGTGAATTCGGAATAAATATTTGAAAGCCTGCAACTTTTGTTTAAACTTTTTAAACAAAAATGTGCTAGGAAGGAAGTACTAAAATGAAAGAGTTTGGTTTAAATAAAATATTTCTTAGTCCACCTCCAATAATTTTATTATAAAAGCTTCAACACATTATACATAAATACACAGCATACCTCATCTAACCAACCCTAACTAACCAATTGTTTAAAAGTTGCCCATAGCTCAAGTTAAAGTGGAAGTTCCTCGGGGTACTATTCTCGAACCCCTTTTATACAGCATATTATATATTTTTATTAACGATACGCAGATCTATACCTTCTTCCGACTCTCAGGTTATTACTCTCAATAACCTGTTAAATTCTGACTTACATAACCTTCTAAACATTTGTGATGAGCATCTTCTTCAAATCAACCCATCCAAGTCTGTTACCATATTATTCTGTAATGATAATGTTGGAGATGAGCTAAGCATATAAAACCTAAGAGTTTTAAATAGTATGATCCCAGTTGAAAACTTTTGAAAAAATTTAGGTCATGGCATTGATGAAAATTTAAAATTTAAAGAACACTTTACTTTATGTCCAAGAAGGGCATATTCAATGTCAAAATTATTATAATTTTATCGTCATTCCTTATCTCTTCATGAAAAACGAAAATATCGCATCGTACAACATAAATATCCGTCGACAACATTTGTTAACTGTACCTTAGCACAAAAAAAGAGTTTTTTTAACCAGATAGTTTTAGAATTAATAAATATAAAATAAATGACTTGACTTTATCCATTAGTTAATTCAAAAATAAATATATAAATTATTGTATATATATATATATATATATATATATATATATATATATATATATATATATATATATATATATATATATATATATATGGGATGGTCGTTCGACAATGTTCTCAATAATACTCTCTTCTAACCTCTAACTATAAACGTAAGTGTCCGATTTAAAAATATTGACTTTTAATGAAAAATCTTGCTGCTAAATTGAAGCTACTTTTGCAACAACACGTATGCAATTGAAAAGTAACAGTTTATTAAATATACTGTCAATACGTTTGAAGGGTCATGACCAATTAAACTGTTTCCAAAAATTTCAATTAGATAAAAAAGTTTCAACCTTAAATCTGATCAGAAAATTTATCTCCTGTGGATATTTTTTCAAACTTTGACGTACAGGGTGTGTAGAAACTAGCTATTATTTGTAAAAAATTGATTTCAATATCTTTCAGAAAATTACTATTTAAGAAAAATAACAATATTCTCTACATATGGGAATTTCTTTGATTTGTAAAGGATGGGATATTTCTATGTGCATTCGCTGTTTCATATTCGATAACCTAAAAGTATATTTTGACGTCACGCCACGTGACTAAAGTCACCTCGACAAATGCGAAAAATTGCAAACTAGAAAAGCAAAAGGAATAAAGGAAGCCAATAAAAATAGTTCAGATTTTAATTTTGGTCACATCGAATTTAAAGTTGTTGTTTGTAAGTCTTTATTAGCCACCTGTTGAAACCCAATTGCATTGTGACGCATCTTCCAAAGGATATGGTTCAATATTTAAAAAAAGGCGATGGTTGTTTTCACCCAATTTTCTATTTTACACAGTTACGAGCTAGAATGTCTTGCTATTTTAAATAGTCTCAAACCATTCGATGTGTACCTTCATGGAATACCCTTTACAATTTTTACAGATTGTGATAGTATTAGTATCACATTAGAAAAGCACATTGTACCCAAAATAGCCATATGAAATTTATTGCTCGAGTCTTATGATTTTAAAATTGAACACTGTTCAAATTCTCAAACGCGTCACGTGTATGCTTTAAGCAGGTGCCACAATATATTAGCTCTTGAGAGTTGTACTTTTGAGCAAGTATTATCAGTTAAGCAATTAATAGACCCTCAAATTTCTGATATAAATAAACCATTGTCTAAAGTTAATTCTCCTTTGTTTGAGTTAAGAGATGGTTTGGTATGCCGAAAATACAAAAATGGTACACTCTTGTTGTTTTATGTTGCTCAGTCCACGGTATGTAATATAATTCGCAAAGCTCATGAAAATCATGGTCGCTGTGGTATATCGAAGGTATGTGAAATTATTACTATTGGTTTCCAAACATGCAAGAACAAGTTAAAAAATGTATTGCAAATTGTGTAAGTTGTATTGAATTCTCTCCGAATCGAGGTAAAGTAGAAGGTGAGCTTCACTCAATCGCCAAAGGTAATGTACCATTTGATATATGTCATATAGACCATTTTGGACCAATTGAAAAATATAAGTGAGGTAATAAGTATATTTTGCTAGATGCAGATGCATTTACAAAATTTTCAAAACTTCATGCTTGGAAATCCACTTCTTCTGATCAAGTCATCAGATACGTAAAAAATTACTTTGCCAATTATTGTCGTCCCAGTAGAATAATTTCTGATAGGGGAACCGCTTTTACCACAGAAGCGTATAGTAACTTTCTCGGTAACCAAAATATTAGGTAAGCATGTTTTAATCGCGATTGGTTCTCCATGTGCAAATGGACAGGTCCAGAGGGTAAATTCAAGTATTGGACCTATTATAGCGAAAGCAACACCAACACTTGATTCGTGGAACAAAATTTGTGTGACGTGGAATTTTCTCTAAATAATACAATTTGTCAAGTACAGGTGAAACATCTTCTAAACTTCTATTTGGTGTATACCAAAAGTGTCCAAATGAAGATCGATTAAAGATTCTTTACAAGATCAGAAAAGAGTAGATTTAAAAAATATTCGACAAGTGTCATCTAAAAATATAGAAAAAAGTCAAACTATAAATAAAATACGATATGATAGAATTCATAAAAAACCTCATTCTTACAGCGTCGGTGATAAAGTGGTAATGACTAATCACGTTTCTACACCCTGTGTTAACAAAAAACTTGTTCCAAAGTTTAAGGGGCTATATTTTATAGATAAAGTTTTGCCAAACAATCGTTATATAGTTATGGATATAAATGGATATCAGGTAACACAAATTCCTTATCAGGGAACTCTGGATTCCTCTCATATGAAACCTTGGATGCCAGACAATGACTTATCTCAATAATTGCCATTAATTGTATTATAGTTTATGTAGTGAGTGTAGTGACTGTAATTATGTTATGTATTATTATGTCATTATGTCAAAAAAATAAATAATTATGTTGCTATTATAAAATGTTATACATTACGATTATGTGGAAAAACTTTTGTATATTTTAATGTTATATAAAAATGGATATGTTTTATTAGGAAGTTTTTACATGCTTTATCCAATTTTAAGGAATTTGTAATTTAGTTGAGTCGAGGTCGATCAACAGTCAAGTTGGTCGAAATGTAGCAGTGTAAATTTAATTTTTACACACTGTCGGTAATACAGATGCCTGTAATGTGTTATTGGTCTGTGTGTGCGTCGTCGTTCAGCAGGCACGACTACCGTTGCTACAGAAATAAAGTTTAAAAAACCCGCTTTTGTCGTGGCGATCCCATTAGGACAAAATGAAGTTTTCCAGTTTTGCAGTATACGAACTTTGGAAATGTAGACGAATATAATGTAATGAATATTTATATAATAATAACAAACAGGACCTTATAAACTAAGGGCTATAAACATAACAAAGCAGTCCTGAATGAATAATTTAAATGAGTGCCATTTTAATCCGTGACGAAAACGTAGGTGGTAGAAAGAAACATGTACTAAAATTTTCTAAGACTTTCCAACCACTCAACTGTGAGGATGGTCATTTTTGACTTTTCTTCCAGGTGAGCGGCACAATCATGAACACCGGTCATAGTGTGATATTTACAATCTACAACGATACCAACACCCACATAAACGTGACGGGAGGACCGTTGTCCTACAAGTATCAATTTCAAGAAATCCATATCCACTACGGGCTCCATGATCAGTTTGGGTCCGAGCACTCGATAAACGGATATGCCTTCCCGGCCGAGGTAAGCAAATTTGCTTAAACCCTAACGCCATTAATATCAATTTCGGAATTATTAGGTTTCGGGTATGCATATATACCACCCCATAGACCAAAGGCCGTTATTAACGGGCCCGTGATTGGAATTTGTTCGTGTTTCGTTTTCGAATCCTGTAAAGTCACTGCTCTATAATTATTTGCGGCATTAACGACAATAGTACCAAGTTCAACAGGAAACCGCGCGTACATGCTTAAAGAAACATCGATAAATAATTGTTCCGCGCAGACAATGAGCTTAACGTAACCGTTGAAATTGCCTAATCCCCGAAAGCTACGAAGTCAGTGAAACGGCAAATCTATTTTACACAGTTGCACAAGTCTGACTCGTCAAACGGAATCCAATATGTCACGCATGCTTTGCCAGGCACTTCCGAGTGTGGTTGTTCGAAATAAATCAATTACTTACAATTTGTTAACCTCCCAGTTTATAGTACCTTTGGCGAATGTTCTCTCACAGCGGACATATTTACACAAATGTTGCTCACCTTGCCAGGAAAAATGTCTTCGTAGAGACGACCACGTGAGCGTGAGAAAACTAGTTCTAACATTTTCTACTACAGGTGGCTGTGTTATTGAAAATGCCTCAGGAACTGAATTTTTATTAGATGAAATTTTATTATAAATATTACAGTTATTTTACATTATATTATATTTCTAGCATACCTAAACCTGACTTGGTGAGTTTTTTTGAGTAATTTGAAAATAACATGAGTTTGTTTACCAATAGTCAAGTCATTATTTTATTCGACTTCAATGCTCCTCTATTTAGCACAGATAGTGAAAGTGATTATAAGATAGGACTAATTAATAGTTTAATTAATTGCCTTAGTTTTTATCAACTTAAGCATTTTAAGCAGACTACTTACGTAAATACAATTTCAGGAGAGCAGCCGTAAAACTATCTCAGCCTGAGTCACTGAACCCAGAATTTAAACACCTTACCTCTGCTCTTCCCTCTAATAATTTCCACAATAAAGACATTAAGGGTTCGATCAAAAAATACACTTCACCACAATAGCAACGAGACCGAAAGTAATCCTACACTTGCCACTGTGGGCCTTCCTTACATTAAAAATATCACTGACCACATATCAAAAGTTCTAAAGAAGTATAACGTCAAAACCAGATTTACTACTTATCCAAAAAACATTTTCGGTCCATCAAAGACAAAATTCCATTTGAGATGCCAGGAGTTTACAGCATTTCATGTATATGTGCAAAAATACATTGAAGAAATCGGACGGAAAATATCAACATTCTTTCATGTAATCAATTCTTCTACCAACGAAAAATCCGAGAGTCTATAGAAATGTATAAAAAACCTCATAATCTTAACCGCAACTCAGGTCTCTGTCACCAATATGGGAAACAGTCATCCGAGACGGTGTTTATGCTCCTCATTTAGCTCCACCCACCTCAACCAATATATAAGCAGGTACAGAGGAAAACGCGAGCCAGTTTCAGTCAAGCTCTGAAGAAGCCAACAGGATCATTTGGCGAAACGTCAGCAAAAACGGACACAAGAGAGATCCAGAAGTTTTGTAAAAAGTATTACAGTACCCTGTGGAATTTTCTTTGAAAAATTTTGCGTTCCTTTATCTATTATCCATAAAAGATCATTTACGGTATGGTTCACATCCGAAATAATTGAGGCAATTAAGCATAGGTTATTCAAAAAACAAAAATACAACAGATCAGAGACAGTTTTAATCGAATATAAAACAATACGTAATGTCGCATATAGAACCTACATCTTTAAGGCTGAAAATGCTGTCACAGAAGATCCGACTGCTTTCTCAAATTGAAAACGTACAGAGAAAATTTCTGAAATTGCTTCACTTTTGTATAAATGGTTTCTACCCGGCTAGGGAACTGCTACAGACTGATTTATTACTAATGTTTAAGGTTCCCTCATTGTTGAATCGTAGAAGGTACTTTTCAATTTAGTTTTTACAGAAACTTTGCAATTCATTAGTGGATTGCCCTGAGTCGCTGAGCCAGCTGGACTTCCATGTTCCCTCGAGAATATAAGGGCGTCACCTGTATTTTACCTAGTAACTCCAAGAACCATTTTTTCAATTAAAGGTGATCTCTATCAGTTGATGAAATTATTTAATTACTTCTGCAATGATATTGACGTTTTTTTAATTAAACGTAAATTTGAAATATTATAATGGAATGTATGTTTCACTATTACTTTGCTGGAGTGTATATAGTTATTATTATTATTATTATTATTATTATTATTATTATTATAGTAATAGTTTTCAAGATGAAATTGTCTTCTAAATGAAAGTTAATCTGTTATTATTATTATTATTATTATTATTATTATTATGTTTATATTAGAACAAGATATAATAGTCCGACGAAGGTGACTTATTGTGATTGTGGTTTATTGTTATCATTGGATCTTGTGCTATAGTCACTTGAAACGAAGAAGACTGTCTCTGTGACGGTGGATTAGAGAAACAGACTCTAATTCAAACACGAGAAATTCCTAAATTTGGCACCGCACAAGTATCCGAATAATGAAAATCATCTCAAACAAATGAATATCACTCCCACCACAAAAGGCAATGACATTCGATCATTATATAGTAGCCAAGATGATTCACTGTGATTTTAACAGCAAAAGGGAGATTGGCTTTTGTTGAGGGTCCTATTAGGAGTTATGAAGAACTAAATAAGTTGTTAATTAAAATTTACTATATTACCGTAGTGATCTTTTTTAAATATTAATGCACCTGCATCGTTGCCAATGCAACTCATAACAAGCGACAACTTTCTTCAAGATATCTTCAAGTGTATTTGTTTGAAGTGATATGGGTAATGAAAAATTTAAAAATTCATGTTCAAATTAGAGCTTTATTTGGAACCGCCTAGGTAAGTAATTTATAAGATGAATCTTTTTACATAGATTTCAAAAACAAGAGACAATCTTTATTCACTCAAGTCTAAAAAACGGTTGCCGATAGGTATAGAGCATGTTTGTAGATTCTGTAAATAAATTATTGAACTTCTTAACGTAAATATCTAATATTTATGCAAAAAGATATTAAGCTTTAATAAAGCGGTGTTTTTCTGCAAAGAAAAATAAAATTAATTTTTTAAGAGTGGAAAGAGAGAGATAGAGAAATAAGTTACTCAGAATTTGGCTGCTCTGATAGATTATGGCAAACTATGAGCATAGAGCAAAATTTGATATTTAGTTCTCCAAGACTTCTACTAAGACACTCAGTGTAAATTACTAGTGAAAAAACACCACTGACTTCATCCCACCTACAAACAATCCAAAGTAACAATGAATCATGGCTATATTAAGTTAAACTAACCCAAAACTATAATTTATAAGGCCTGTGATTCCCGCCTCGCTTTCACTTTCTTGATGAATAAAAATATTTCTTGTATTTTTTTTAATGATATTGATTAGGCATATAATAGCGCAAGAAAGGTGATTATTGGATCTTGTACTATAGTTACTAGAAGGACGAAGAAGATTGTCTCAGTGACTTTAGATGAGGGAAACAGACCCCATTTACATTTACACTTACGCTTACACTTACACTTACACCCAAAAAGGCAATGCTGCAAGGTCACTGTGATTTGAACTGCATATACAGCAGCCAGAAGCGATTTTTTGCTAAGATCACACCATATGATTCATAAACTGAAGCAAACTGGGGCTTTTTGACACTTAGATATGTTAGGTTACCACCACACCATTTTTTATATTTTTCAAATCCCCAGAAACTGCTGTCACAATAGTTTGTACATCTTGGTATACTTGGTATAGCGGAGAAAGTTTATGAATGTTATCGTCTCAGCTATAATTAATACCATCGAGGAAGAAGTCGCTCGCAAATTCGAAAATTAATATTTCCCAAATGTTTTTTATGCTTCTAATCCCTTGCGAAATATTTGAAAAAGATTAATTATTTTTAAAACTACTCGCTGCATAACTGCCGCTCAAATTCACCTATCTTGTTCGAGGAGGGTGCGACTGCGTTTAAAACAAAATCCTCTTTAAACACCCCGTTCAATCCAGCATCCGTATACCCCAGTCACCTAAGGTTTTGCGGCATTAAATCGTCCCAGTCCTTAAATATATTGCCGTTCCTCAGCGCCCTAATAAATTTGAATCATTCATGGCAGGATAAATACTTAATAAATCCGCGCGATGGCGGAATTAGCGGTGATGCTCATTTTTATTTTCCACTCGAATTCGAGTGTGCCGCTTTCGCTTCGCAAAAGGTACCGCGGGGAGTCGTGTCTCCGGAATTATTCTCATCTTGTTCGCTTCCCGCCTCTAAAGTTTGCCTACCTCAAGTGTCATTAAATACTTTGTTGTTGCTTTTCGGTCCTGGCGTTCCGCGTGCCGGATGATATTGTTCCTGCGTTAATTCGGAATTTTAAATTGTTGCCGCAGCGAGCCCGCCTTTGCAATTAAAATGGGTAATTAAGGCCGGCCCTTTACATTTTTAGGCGCGCGTTTTTTTTTTATTTGTCTCCGTACACAACTACACAAAACACAAATCATCTTTAAACGAATAGGTGGCAGACACGTATACCTGCAGATATGGATTTTTTCCTTTTTTTTACTTGGGTATTTTGAGGGCAAATTGTTTTATTATCGGGTAATTTGTGACATCATGGGAATCGAGAGTGTGAGTGGATAATGTATGTCTAACCCTCAGATTTACTCGTTCATAAAATCCGCCAATATTTTGTATCAATATTTCTAAGGGGCGATACAGGCGGGAATAAATATCAAGAATGGGAATAGCTAGAGGGGAGAAAACTTGTTTCAGGATAATTGGATGTCCAACGCAAGGCTGAGAAAATTAGAACTCAACAGCGCAACTGATACTTGCGCACCGTAATTATCGTCTTACCAGAAGAATTTCAGTATAATAACACCGAAAATACACCAAAACTGCTGCAAAACACGAAGAACTAAATGAA